TGTCGCTTGCATCTACATGCGAAATTATAAAGAATGAAATTGGCACTAGCCACATAAGCTGACACAGTCAGAAAGCTGAAGGCTTATCCCCTTTTATTTTTATGTGTGCGAAAATACGCGATTTGATAAGAGATGAATTACGTATGTATTTTTAAGTAAGTAAAATCGGTGGACCTATTTGCTCTTTATTCATTTGTCTTTGCGGACTAGGTCATGAGAAATTGCAAAGGACTGGCCGCGTATATTGTTTAAGTAAAGTTAATTGCAGCTTAAACTAGCTTTATCAATGTTAACGTGCAATTCGGAGCACCGTTATTGAATATTTGCTGAAGTGTCCCACTTAGCGCTGTTAGGAAACTCCCAAGTGTATTTTATGTTAAACTACTGCCATTATAAGCTGCTCCTGAAAGGTTGAAATGGATTTCTGTTAGGGCAATGCTAAGAAGTCTTACAAACGACCTTAACTAAAGCTTTGACTTAGAGCTCGTTTCAGCCACTTTGGAAAGCCCTGAATGTTAATAACAATAGGTTTTGCATTGCAGCATATTTTTGGGGATGACCGCGACTCATTTCTGAAGTCGACTTTTTGCTTAAGAAGTTACTTGTATTAAAACTTAATGCTCAGATGATTCAGCCCACGATTTTCCCATGTCTAAAATCAACTGACATATTGCGCGATTCTCAGCGTGAAAATGCAACATTTCCATTTTAATCCTTAGGTGTGAGTGAAAAAAGGTCCGGTACGATTTATCCCAGATAAATTTCATAAAGTTTTTAGCGGAAGCTGAATTGGACCCTTGCAGTCGTAAATCACTTCATTTTACCACAGTCCATATGAAATAATTGAAAATGAGGGACATTTTTAGTTTCCTTTTGGGAATAGAGTACAAATAGTGGAAGGAAACCTGGTAGGTACAAAATCAGAACGTTTTAAGTAGTATAAGTCTCCACCTAACCATTTTTTGTCTAGTGGGGTCGGTATAAAGCAAACAGTGTAGGCGTCCTTTGTATGTGTGTGCAGATCAGTAGCTGTTCAGTTTGATTTCAGTAGAGGGTCTGCTAATGATGTTTGGAGTCCTTTTTCACGGACCCAGGGGTCTGATAGAGACCAAACACAAGGTTCTTGTAGACGAAGACCAAACTCGAGCCAGCTTTGTGAGAACACAGTGAGTAAAATTTTCCGTCAGTCATATAGCAGTTCCAGCCCTCGCCGTAGACAGATTCCACCCTCTGCTTAATTGCATTAAGTTGTTCCTGTTTAGGACGGGGGAAGGGGGGAGAGAGAAGAGAGGGCATTACGTCTGTTCAGACATTTCAAAGTATATGCGTAGATTAATCAGGCGAGGTAGTCTCATTAAATCGACTAGCGTTGCATTTAACACCGCCGACTGTGCTACGCGCTGCATCTTGTAAATGCTTCAACCGACACACTCTATTTAGTTTTGGTATTCTATGGAAGGTCCTAAAGGAACTATGCTTCTATAAAAACGTGCATCTCCCAAGGTTAAACGGAAGTGACGCCTAGACTGCAGAGATCGGTTGGGAATCTGCCTCCCCCCACTAAAGTAAGAAATTTTTCCTTGAGTAATTTAAAGGCAGACAAATTCAGGCACCAATTGTGTGCAGAGCTATAGGGCAGAACACTCAAACTCTGGAGGTACTTCATTGTTGGAATATCGTTTAGGTCTTGTGTATCTTCATTTCTGTCTCTAACTCAACGAAGCTCTAAATATTACGTATCAGATTACCCTAGAAAGCGAGGCAAAAAAGAAATAATAATCACAGCCTAAAAACCCTATTCTGTGCAATAAAACGTTCAAGTATATAAATAGTAGTGATAATGCGAAGAAAAGATAGAGTTTATCTATTATTATGTATCTGAAAACTGTGAGGTCGAATGCCCAGTCTCTGAAGATGAACAAAGAAGAACACTACCCGAACTCTCAGACACGCAACAAACAAGCTTTATGTTTGCTAGGTCCTGAAATTATTTATTATCATTTATTTATTATTTATCTCAACACAATCTGCTTTTCCATCAGACCTGCTTGCATCAACAAGATTAAGAAGTCTAGAATTAAGTTTTCGTTAGCACAACCCTTTTCCTATCTGAATACACTCATTATATTTATCATATGGAACACACAGACGTAATAAAAATCTTCAAATCTACACGCAGAAAAATCTCTGTAATCTGGATGAAGAACAGGTCAATTGATACTCATGAGAATCAAACAAATACCTGTTTGGACATGCGTTTCTGGAGGACATCGATGACGTACAGGACGATTGACTGTTGTTGCATGGGCCGCATGTCTGTGGTAAGAATCCGGACATCTCTCAGAGCAGCGTAACTGAAATGGATTCAATACAAGTAACAAATTAAAGAAATGCATAACCGTCCTAATAACAATGCATAAAAAATTCTATATAGTTAAAATAAAAACTGCTCAATTTGTTTCAAAACTAGCTTTTTTAAGACCAACATCCATTTATCTTTGGATTTAATATTCTGGACGCTGTTCCCGATCTGTATTACGCATGGACGGGGGGAGCCCACAATGACGGAAAAATATTCAGTTTGTTTGGTACGATCAGTCAATGGTTATTTATTGTATGACTTTGTGATTTAATCTCACAATTCCTTTAACACCTGCAAAAAGACTAATTGACACTTTAGGTACAAATATTGTTGCCACAAACAAGGTTGCTTGGGTCAATTTTGTCCATTGGCGAAATTTCATTTTCAGCTTTAATGTGAATAGATGATGAAATGTTCCAGAGAATTACGAATTGCGGTATTTATTAAACATAGTGTCTAATAATATGTCAGCAAAGTATTTTAACGCGTTGGCTAACCGGGATGCTTATAACGCGAGAAAAAAGCATAACAGAACACTGCATCCTAAGATATAAAGTTCTGGTGTCTTACGTACTTGGGGGTAAATCCTGTGCAGTCGTGGTAAAGGTCCTCTCGGCGGATGAGTCCGGTTTTCTTAGGATCGAAACGATCACAGATCGCCTACGGAGAAAAAATAAAACTCACTTGAGACGAGTAAATGGATTTTTCGAAAAATACGTTTGCTTTGCTAATATGCTAACTTATTTAAACTGTTTTTTGCAAAAAATTTCTGAAAAAATCTATTAAAATGCATGTTCATAACGAAATGTAGGAAGAGGCGAAGGCTGGTAAAAAGATTTTTGTACCTGAGCTTGGTGCTCGTCGATGCCCCATTTAATCAGGAAGTTCTTGTAGTCCCTCGTAGGGATGGCTTAAAATTAAAACAAATTTATTGCTGGAAGTCAAATCAATAAATATTACTCACGAATAGAAGCAAATATGCGTGTCCCAGGTTCTTGTTGTAAATATTACTTTACAAACGCTTACAAAAGACAGCGAAGGGTAATTAGTCTGACACATAAAAACTTTTCCCTGCAGATTTAATCAAGACATTTTGATTTCGGGCTCAGATATGGTGTCATAGGCTTATTTTTATAAGGATGTTAGCGCGCTTTTATCATTGTTGATTCCCCAAAACACGAGGACGACTCATATGCTTACTGACCGTCCATTACATCGGATCAATTTTCCAGACTTTCAAACTCATTTATTCCTTCAAGTCTTCTAATACCAAGATATGAAGTTAACAGGCCTAATTATGTTATTTCATATATACTGTACACACTTAGAAGAAATAACGTTGCCTTATTTTTCTTAACTGAGAAATCTGTAGCAAACCGCATTACATATTAGTATTAACAGGAATAAAATTTTGTCTCTGTTAGACGCGGTGAAAGCCCTACGAATGCTTTGTTGGGAAACATTGTATACCGCTTAATTTTAGCAATCAAAATTAACCGAAATTTTCTCGCCAGCATTTGAGATATGTATATATAGATACATAGTGTTTGCGAACTGCGATGGCTTTTGTTAAAATTAAATCCCAGTTTTGCCATAAGTACGCTGTAATTGAAGGAACGTTTTAATTGATAATTAACACAGAGTAGAATAAGTGCTTACCGGCCTTGGCCTCTGTCATCTCATCGTAGTAGTGGATTAGTCGCTCGGGGCTCGGTTCGTCTGCCATTGTGTGTCACCCTGCACGTCGTTAGCAAATGTGGTAAAGAGCTCAGAGTCAGAGCTTATAATTAAATATAGGCACACAGGACAAATGGAGGCAGCGCTGAGTGCGTACGTGGCAGTTTTCTTTCGGCGAGGCTATAGATGGGCATGTGTGAGAAAAAGAAGGGGCGATAGAGTTGCACCTCCGCACCAACTGTTGAGTGTACTCCCATAGCGTCACCTCCCATCGCAGGCGTGATCGCAGCCTGTGTTGAGTTAACGCTAATCTTGATTGACAGTGGAGGCTTATTGGTCAGAATGAAATGAGTAACCTGTGGGGTTAGCAGGAGCAGGAACATAGTTGTGGCTTCCTACACTGTTGCAATCGATGACATAGACAATGCCGGAGTGTAGTTGTGGTAGTTTTAAAGCAGCTGTATTCACCACGACAGTCCTCTAGGTGCAAATTGATGATAAAACTAGGCAAACGTGGTCCAGACGGGTGGTCATAGGGACTCAAGTATATTTACTAACCCAGTACCGTAATAACCAGGGCAAAGCATATTTCGTCTTTAAATCTAATCGTAGACATGAAAGCCTCAGGTAAGGAAATGATATTTGTAATGAAGTGGTGACATTATATGTTCCAATATTTTATTAGTGCGTCATATTTGCAGAACGAAATTTTTAAGAGAGGAGAATAAACAAAATTATAAATTGAAAAGGATATTCTTTTCGAAAACCTTGAAATTTACGGCGTTAAGATGTGAGATACTGAGGAATGACTGCACTGCTGCCATGGTACTAAATTCTCATGTATTTACAATTAATTCGGGGTTTAAAAATTTAATGAAGCGTAAGCGTTTGATAACTCAATTACTTATTTTCGAATAAAGAGGAGTCTGCAGTCTAAATGTCCGTTTCATGTGACTAAAAATATCGGTAGTCTTAGAAGAGCAACAGACAAGTCCTCCATTTAAGATAATCTTTCAATGCAAGAATGGGTTCACAACACCAGATGGTTTGTCACTGAGCAATGCGTCTTTAGTATTCTTTAGCTGTTTCGCAAGCTCTGCGTCTAGTTCACATTTCAAATAGTACATCTTACACACTCAGATAAGGTGTTCTTTCAAAAGTGCACATGTCTATATTGTTTGCACTTTGACTACTGCGCTTTCCTTCGCTTTCTCAGACCTATTGATAGTCGTAAGTTGATGGTTTCAATCCTCCAAACAATGTAGTAATGTTATCTGCACCATCACCATACCTTTCAGATTAAGGTTTGACAACTAAATAGTCTAAGAAACTCGTGCTACCAATTACTGAAATTTTATTTGTATGTTTTTTTACAGGGATTCTCCTCCAAATACTCTCACGCTCCAGGTTCTGGTGTCCTCTTTGTATTACACCCATCTAAGTAACACACTTGCTTTTATTGGATGGAACATGTCCAGCTTGGTAAAACTTTGCCCAGTCCGTTAGGAGACTCATTTTGTCTATCTTATGGTGACCAGAATGTACAAATGAACAACATCATCTGCACATATACTTGAGAACTTACATCTTTTCGAAAAGTATTACCATCATTTGTCCATCAGTGCGTACGTATAAATTACGCAAATGCACCTTTCAGTGAATTGGATGATGCTTACGTGATTTTTCTTCCGTTAAAACATGTGTGTTCGGAACTGAAAATTATCAGATCTATGGAATTACGAGCAGGAATTTTCTATGGTTGCCGTTTGGATGATGTAAAGACCACTGTCTTTAGGAGCGTTCTGTCCTGCATATGGGTTTGACACAAGCAAAGATACAAGCAGTTGTTAATGCCAACAAAATTCAAGACAGCTCATATAGTGCAACTCGTTGTGGCATAACATAGGTAACCAATAAAAGTATGCATCGCGTTTAATTTCAACTGGAAATCAAAAATCAATGTAGATGGGCAAGATCGTTGCCCACTGCCCACCGATTTAGCAATAAAAAGAGTAAATTAACGATGCGATACAGGAAAGGAATAAGATGACAAGTTATCAGACAAAAGGGCATGTGGAACTCCAAGGACCAGAGATTATCGCAAGAGTAGTGAAAATGCGATTCCCATGTGGTAAGTCAGAAGGAGAAAGGGCGTTCACAGGGAGAGGTA